GTCATGCTATAAAAAGCGATTCCGAGCGTTTTCCCTTATTCAGAACAGAGTTCTGAGGAGGGTGACTGGACCCGAAACGTTAACTCTGTTTTCTCCTCCACAGGTGCTGCCAGATCTGCTGAGCTTTTCCAGCAACTTTGTTTTTGTTCCCTTATTCTGTGTCTGAAAATGACCGTCACTATGGCTGATGAAAAGAAAGTGCAGCCCACCTCCAAGAAGGGCCCGAAGAAAATTATCAAGAAGGCGCCAGGAAAAGGAAACGATCCAGGAAAGAAAGTTACTCCATCTACATCTACAAAGTGATGAAGCAGGTTCACCCCGACACCGGCATCTCCTCCAAGGCCATGAGCATCATGAACTCGTTCGTCAACGATATTTTCGAGCGCATCGCGGGGTGGCTTCCCGCCTGGCCCATTACAACAAGCGCCGCACCATCAGCTCCCGGGAGATCCAGACCGCCGTGCGGCTGCTGCTGCCCGGGGAGCTGGCCAAGCACGCCGTGTCGGAGGGTACAAAGGCGGTGACCAAGTACACCAGCTCCAAGTGAGGCACCACATTGTACTCAAAAACACACACATCCAAAACCCAACGGCTCTTCTAAGAGCCACCCACAATTTCACTGAAGCAACTGAATCATTTTGAGTTTGTAAATGATCCTCAGTATGTATAACTAATGTCCCTAAGCTTCGTGTTTGTTTTTATAAATGTTCTAAAGATTAACGTGTGGTCCCTGACCCTCTGCCTTTTATTTGCGGTTGCCTTCATACCCATCTATTTTCCCTGCCTGTATAGAGAGCATATTTATCGTCACGGAGTCATTTTTCAGCAACTTCTCTATGTTCAAGTTACTCTAACCCTTGATTAGGGCAGCAGCTACAGTGCCCTGTGGAGTATGAAACATTAGTTTCACCCCCTGAAAAGAAAACTAACTGTTCGAGTCCCACGAAGAGATTTTGCAATTTATTCGTCGTTTTTAAATTAATTTTCAAAACTCCATGGAGACTTCGTCAGATTTTTGCAGAATGCTGTAAATGAGGCTTTCAGCTCTTGCTGAGAGTCTTTCAAAATGAACTGAAATAAAGCCAGAACAGCTGCCGGATTGCGATAGCAACTGTGCAACTTTGGCTGAAGTCTGATCGAGGACAATAAGGGTGGGCAACTTCAAACTATTGTTTAAAGTTTTAACCCTCTCACCCGGAAGAACGTTGTGTGAGGTTTTATAAATACATCAGGGTGCACTGGTAATGTGAAAGTGAATTAAATTCGAAGAAAAATTAAAGTATTCATTCCTCTTTGTAAAATTTTTTTCCTATTTCGTACATGTTAGAGGGTTTTTCAAACCTTTCCCGGTGGGGTATGAACGCTGAATTTCTCCCGAGGCAACGAAAAAAATGACCCCGTATTCGAGCCCCACGAATAGAAATATCGTGCGATTTCTGTTTTGTTTCAATTTCCAAATCTCTATGTGAATTTATCCTTTTTTTTATTCAGTTTGCAGTATGTGGGGCTTTCTGGTGTCGGTGAGAGGCTTTCAAAACGAACCCAATCAACCGGAATCTAGCACAATAAATCAGGGCCACTTTCTAAACTTGCCTGAAGACGGTGTTGCTTGGGGAGTGAGACAGAGAGATTGTGTGAAGTACGTATTTGTAATCTAAAAGGAAATTAAATCGTAAGCATTTACGCACTAATCTTTGTAAAACATCTTCCTCGTATTGTCCATATTGGCGGGCTTTTCAAATCGGAAAGTAAACGGTTGATGATTTGGCGCCGGTATTTTCGGGCCTCCTCCCCGGGTCTCCTCCGGATTGGAGAATGAAGCAGATATCTGATTGGGAATTAAAACTTTACTAGGAGTTACTGAACAATGTAACCAATCAGCAATGGCCGCACCATCATTCCTCCCGAAGGTATAAGAGGGCGGAATGTGGGCGCATTGCAACATTCTCAATGAAGGTGTTTGTGATATTGTGGCCATGTCTGGGAGAGGAAAGGGCGCTGGTGGGAAAGCTCGCTCCAAGGCGAAGTTCCGGTCGTCCCGGGCTGGCCTGCAGTTCCCGGTGGGCCCTGTTCACAGGCTCCTGAGAAAGGGTAATTACGCTGAGCGTGTGGGTGCCGGAGCGCCGGTCTATCTGGCTGCGGTGCTCGAGTACCTGACGGCTGAAATCCTCGAGCTGGCCGGTAACGCGGCCCGGGACAACAAGAAGACCCGCATCATTCCCAGGCACCTCCAGCTGCCGTGCGCAACGACGAGGAGCTCAACAAGTTGCTTGGAAGGGTGACCATCGCTCAGGGTGGGGTGCTGCCTAATATCCAAGCCGTGCTGCTGCCCAAGAAAACCGCAGCTGGCGGCGCTACTAAAAAGTGAAGAGACCACTCTTGAATCTGACATCCCAAAGGCTCTTTTAAGAGCCACCCACAGCATCTGAAAGACAGCTGGACCGTCACTAGTGATCTATTGGTTTTCCTTTGTGTGAAGACCCGGGACTCTGTAATCAGATTGCTGTAACTGAGGATTTTTGTTTTTATGAGACAACAAGGTGCAGGGCTGGATGAACACAGCAGGCCAAGCAGCATCATAGGAGCAGAAAGGCTGATGTTTTGGGCCGAGACCCTTCACCCTTTCTGATAAAGGGTCGAGGCCCGAAACGTCAGCTTTCCTGCTCCTCTGATGCTGCTTGGCCTGCTGTGTTCATCCAGCTCTATACCTTGTTATCTCAGATTCTCCAGCATCTGCAGTTCTTACTATCTCTGGAATAATAAATGTGAAGGTTTAGCAGTACAGGTCAGCGAAATATAAACAGTAGCTAAAGGCGGGGGGCCCATTAATACACTGACAGCGCACAACAACATGGAATGCCTATACAGCAGGAAGAGGCCATTCAAGTCTGAACCGACCCTCCAAAGAGCATATACTGAGATAGGCTAGAGGGGGAAGGGGAAAAGAGAGATTGTGTGTCCTAAACTTTAAAATCTTTTAAATGTTTTGTCGGGCTTTTGAAATTTACACTAAATAATAACCAAAAGACCTGCAGATGCTACCATCCCACCAGCATCCACATCCAGAATCATCAGATGCCATTTCCGCCACCTCCAGCAAGATGCCACCACCAGACGCATATTACCCTCCCCTCCTTTGTCCGCCTTCCGCAGGGACCGTTCCCTCCGGGACACTCTGGTCCACACTTCCTTCACCCCCAACACCTCCCCATAGCCTTACGGCACCTTTCCCCTGTAGCCGGCGAAGGTGCAACATCTGCCCATTTACCTCCTCCTCCCTCCCCAGTATCCAAGGGCCCAAATCTACCTTCCGGGCGAAGCAACACTTCACCTGCACTTCCCAGAATTTAGTCTACTGCATTCGCTGCTCACAATGTGGTCTCCGATACATTGGGGAAACGAAGCATAGACTTGGTGACAGCTTCACAGAACATCTATGTTCTGCTCGCAAAAAAGCCCCTGAACTACCACTGCCACTTCAATGCACCACCCTGCTCCCTGGCCAAAATCTCTATCTCTGGCTTGCTGCAGTGTTCCAGTGAAGCCCAACGCAAGCTGGAGGAGCAACACCTCATTTTCGACTTGGGGACCCTACAGCCTGCCAGACTTGATATTGAGTTCAATAATTTTAGGGCCTAAACTCTCCCGTGTCCTAGCCCCCTACCCCACATACCAGGCCTTGTTACCATATAGCCTGCCATTGCACACCCCTTGTTCTTTGTCAATAACAGTCCCCATTAACAACTATTCACCCTCCCAGCCTGATCGTTAGCAATTCCTTTGTCTGTCCAACTGTCTTTCTCTATCTTTGGGTTCACTCCCTACCCCACCCACCTCCCTATTTTCTGCATATAAACTGACGTTTTTCCAGCCGCCATCAGTTCTGAGGAAGGGTCACCCGACCCGAAACATTAACTCTGTTTTCTCCTTCGCAGATGCTGCCAGATCTGCTGACTTTTTCCAGCAACTTTGTTTTTGTTATGAAATTTACAGTTATAGCTGGGGAAACACAAAGAGAGACAATGGCACACAGAGGCGTTTTGTCTGCAATTTGTAAGCTCTTGCACACATGGAATCCAGCACTTCAAATGTATTTTATGATTACTACTAAAATCTCAACTTATAACTTGATTAGCCCTTTTTCTGATGAAGGGTCTAGGCCCGAAACGTCAGCCTTTCTGCTCCTATGATGCTGCTTGGCCTGCTGTGTTCATCCAGGCTTGCACCTTGTTGTCTCTTGATTAGTCCAAGTTGACTTTTGTTTTTAAATGTGAAATGAATGCATCTCCCAGGCCCATTCAATCCCTGTAATTGCAGCTGCAGCGACACACTGCAGCAATAGCACACTGTGACCTTACATAAAGAATGCCTACCGATTACTGCTCTGTCAATTTAAGGCAATGGAGAGCCCGCCCTAGAACTGGGATTGGATACAGTCCTGTACCTCAAACCACTGAGAAACAGCTCCGGAAGGTACAGAAATGGCAGTAAAATAATTGTTGAAGTCTGAGACAACAAGGTGTGGAGCTGGATGAACACAGCAGGCCAAGAAACATCAGAGAAGCAGGAAGGCTGACGTTTCGGGCCTAGACCCTTCTTCTACACCTTGTTGTCTCAGATTCTCCAGCATCTGCAGTTCCCACTATCTCTGAAATTTGTTGAAGGCTGATTGGTTAACTTGAAATGACAGTTGGTCAATTTCAAATAGCCCGCCGATTTCACCGAGAATAAATATTTAAATACAAAACACCATTCGTCTGCAACTAAGATTACACCTTATACTTTATAGAATTTTCTTTTAAACCTAGCTTGCACACAGCGCGGACAGGATGCGGGATCATTTCCTGAGCTGTCTGTAACAGGCAGGAGGAAAGCGCGGTGTTTAATACAGCCCAGGCAAACTCATCAACCGAATGTGTAAACCGCCTTTAATCTAAACAACCCGCCGATTTAAACATGTTAAAAGCTAATACAGTGTACACCGATAAAAATTCAGAATATTACTTTATCGTTACATTTTTATTTCACCCAAATTATAATTACAATGTGCCGGAACTGTCTGTAACAGGCAGATGGAAAGAACACGCCACTAAAACATCAGCACGGCTGTCAGAATCAAAACTGAACAAAGTATCATTCCTGGAAGGGTTAAAAAAGTACAAATACTGCAATATGTATCATTCGCGTCTCATTATTCATGGTATGTATAGCCAACTACACATACTGGTATTATTACGGAGATACACAGATATTCACAAGACGATCAAAGGTTAAGGGGACAAGGCACAGCAGGGTTGAGAAATCAGCCATGATCGAATGACTGCTGCTTCTCTACCTTAGTCGCAATGTAACACAACTAGCTGCATATCAGTATACTCTCGAATTGCTGAAAAGCCTCTATCTGTAGGAATATTTTGATAATAAAACATTAGTTTCTGCCGACAACAACAAAGTGAATAATCCGCTCTGCCTGTTCGCTCTCCTGTAACGCTGGACACGAAATTAGTGTATTTTCGTAAAGAATTGATCCAAAATTAAAAGTCGTGAAAGATGTGAAATAACCAGCTGAGGTACACTATACCCTCCCGCTATGTGCTGCCTTCCCCGTCCTCAGGTCTCCGCTCTCAATCGGAGGCTTTGGGTGGCTCTGAAAAGAGCCTTTGGGTTCACTGGAAAAGGGTCCATTTGTTCAGCCACCGAATCCATAGAGAGTGCGGCCCTGGCGTTTCAGAGCGTATACCACATCCATGGCAGTGACCGTCTTGCGCTTAGCGTGCTCAGTGTAGGTGACCGCATCCCTGATCACATTCTCCAGGAAAACCTTCAGCACCCCGCGGGTCTCCTCGTAGATCAAGCCCGAGATGCGCTTGACCCCGCCACGGCGAGCCAGGCGCCGGATGGCTGGTTTCGTGATGCCCTGGATGTTATCACGGAGCACTTTGCGGTGCCGCTTCGCTCCGCCTTTTCCCAGGCCTTTACCTCCTTTGCCTCTTCCAGACATCACGCTTCTTCACTCCAATCACTGCCGAATGAGAGCCGAGATGCCTCACCTTCCTTTTTTATACAGCCCGCCCCGACCTGACTGAGAAAGAGCTGACAGACAGTGAGAGGCGGCCCGGGCCGGAAACTGAGTGACAGCAAGGAAATGTCCAGCTCCGCCTCCAGCTAACTCCTTTCCCCAACTGTATCTCTAACTAAACCTTTTCTCCACAAGGGCAGTGAACAAAATGTTCGGCAGAAAACCTGCAGACTGGAGATTCATGTTCAAAGATAATGAAAACCGGAGCCTTTAAAAGCAGAGATAGTAGGAACTGCAGATGCTGGAGAATCCGAGACAACAAGGTGCAGGGCTGGATGAACACAGCAGGCCAAGCAGCATCATAGGAGCAGAGAGGCTGACGTTTCGGGCCTCGACCCTTCATCAGAAAAGGGGGAGGGGAAGGGGGTTTTGAAATAAATAGGGAGAGAGTGGGAGGCGGATAGAAGAGGGATAGAGGAGAGGATAGGTGGAGAGGAAACAAACAGGTCGAAGAGGCGGGGATGGGGCCAGGAAAGGTGAGTGTAGGTAGGGAGTTAGGAAGGGGATAGGTCAGTCCAGGGAGGACGGACAGGTCAAGGGGGCGGGATGAGGTTGGTCGGTAGGAGATGGAGGTGCGGCTTGAGGTGGGAGGAGGGGATAGGTGGGAGGAAGAACAGGTTAGGGAGGCAGGGACGAGCTGGACTGGTTTTGGGATGCGGTAGGGGGAGGGGAGATTTTGAAACTTGTGAAATCCACATTGATACCATTGGGCTGCAGGGTTCCCAAGCGGAATATGAGTTGCTGTTCCTGCAACCTTCGGGTGGCATCGTTGTGGCACTGCAGGAGGCCCAGGATGGACATGTCGTCTGAGGAATGGGAGGGGGAGTTGAAATGGTTCGCGACTGGGAGGTGCAGTTGTTTGTTGCGAACCGAGCGTAGGTGTTCTGCAAAGCGGTCCCCGAGTCTCCGCTTGGTTTCCCCGATGTAGAGGAAGCCACACCGGGTACAGCGGATGCAGTATACCACATTGGCAGATGTGCAGGTGAACATCTGCTTGATGTGGAAAGTCTTCTTGGGGCCTGGGATGGGGGTGAGGGAGGAGGTATGGGGGCAGGTGTAGCACTTCCTGCGGTTGCAGGGAAAAGTGCCGGGTGTGGTGGAGCTGGAGGGGAGTGTGGAGCGGACAAGGGAGTCACGGAGAGAGTTGTCCCTCCGGAAAGCAGATAAAGGTGGGGAGGGAAAGATGTCTTTGGTGGTGGGGTCGGATTGCAGATGGCGGAAGTGTCGGAGGATGATGCGTTGGATCCGGAGGTTGGTGGGGTGGTACGTGAGGACGAGGGGGATTCTTTTTTGGTTTTTATTGCGTGGACGGGGTGTGAGGGATGAGGTGCGGGAGATGTGGGAGACACGGTTGAGGGCGTTCTCGACCACCGAGGAGGGGAAGTTACGGTCCTTGAAAAACGAGGACAACTGAGATGTACGGGAGTGGAATGCCTCATCCTGGGAGCAGATGCGGCGGAGGCGAAGGAATTGGGAATAGGGGATAGCATTTTTGCAGGAAGGTGGGTGGGAGGAGGAGTATTCTAGGTAGCTGTGGGAGTCGGTGGGCTTGAAATGAATATCGGTTTCTAGGTGGTTGCCCGATATGGAGACAGAGAGGTCCAGGAAGGGGAGAGAGGTGTTAGAGATGGTCCAGGTAAACTTAAGGTTGGGGTGGAAGGTGTTAGTGAAGTGTATGAACTGTTCGAGCTCCTCGTGGGAGCACGAGGCGGCACCGATACAGTCATCAATGTAACGGAGGAAGAGGTGGGGTTTAGGGCC